AAAAAAAAAAAAAAAAAAAAAAACACATCATAGTAAAATTAATACCTTCTTCGCTTCGCATCGAAGCTAAAAGTATTATATGTAAAATATAGTATTAGGAAATCAGAAAAAGATTGATTCAAAACAAAATAATATAATGGAATTTTTTAAATGCAATTATGTAAGTTAAAAAATTAAATTTTTACTATAATGTCTAAAATTATTTCGTTTATAAGTAAAATTTGTTGAAGAGAATAATATACTGTAGATTAGTTTAACATTAAAACTAAATTTTGTTATTGCTTCAATCTATAAGTATCTTATTAGTTTATTTAATTTGATTTATCATTGTATATTTCAAAAATGAATAATTATGAGTCGTTCCATCATACATTTTTCTGACGAAAATAGTCTAAAATAGTGAACGTATTTTTGTAAAATATATAAATATTTGATGAGCTTTAATTTAATATTTAAAAAAATTGTTGAAGTGCTTAACTGATATAAAATTTAAATTTAAAACTTTCTAAAAATTAGATTTATTATTTTATAGACAGTTTATTAATGATTAATTACAAATTAATGTATAGGCCTTTTTGAAACTTTTATGTGTAATAATTTTATTTCTTTGAAATTGAAACTATTTAAGGCAATAATATTCTACTATTAAAAGTAATAATTTACAAAATATCAAAGTAAGAATAAACTTAATTTTTTCAAAAATAGCATAGCATGTATATATAAAAATTAGTTTATGGGAGAAGTGGATTATGATAGTTGGGTTTTTTTACCCTACATTACAACTTTGTTTATCAAATCAAAATACATGAAAAATAATGGAATATGATTTTTGTGTTCACCCCTCCGTCATCCCATAAATGATCTCTACCTACGCATCTGTGTAAACATCTTGAATTTTTAGAAAGTTTTAAATTTAAATTTTATATCAGTTAAGCACTTCAACAATTTTTTTAAATATTAAATTAAAGCTCATCAAATATTTAATATTATAACACATAAATCATAGGTAATGGTTACAAATAATGAGATGGACAAATGTTTTTGAACAAACAAATTTTGCTTCAATTTTCAAATCTCTAGTACATAAAACACTAATATAAATTGCACATCATTTTTAATATTTTTTTCAACTGTAAAATCTAGTTTAATCATGTTTTTATTCACCTATTCATTTTTCATTGCTTTATACATCTTAGGAACTTCATCGTCGTTCCAGAATGATGAAAGTGGCAGTTATGAAGTACAATCTCCGGTGAGAAAAATTAAATTATGATAATATTATAATCTAATAATTAATCTAGATAAATAATTGAAATTTGAAAGATTACAAAACAATAAAAAATCAAATTATGGCCTCAACGAATTACACACCTAGGTGGGGTAGGCAGTTCGATGAACGGCAGTAATTGTCGGCTTTCTATTAGTGTCTTGTATGTGGTCTGGTTGACTAGATAAGGCGACGTCGCCGAGGGCTGTTCTGTGACATTTTTCATTCTATCGCGTGTATAAGTACTGTACTTGTGGTTAAATAAAGTCATGTAAAAATTGTTTCCATTAGACATACGAAACACAGAACTAAAAATGTGTCGCTGGAAACTTAGATCAGATTGATACATATTTAAATATATTTATACTATGTGTTAATTTTGTATCACTCTGATTAATTAGATTTTTTATTATTATTAATGTAAGTAGGGACGCCCAGTTATATTCTTAATGTCAATTGCATTATAATTTTTTACTTTTAAATTAATAATATTATTAATATACTGTTAATTTTAAATAATAAAATTGTTGTTCATTTCAATTCATATCAATTGAGCCGTTTGTATATTACGATGGCTTTTAACATTTTTCTTTAGTAATGTATGGTATGTTTGGGTTAGCAATCATCGGAACTGGTTGGTATTGATTTTCTAGCACAGCGATATTTGTGTTGTGTGCACTGCTACATTTGTTAAGTTTTTTGTATAATATTCTCTCATGGATGACTGCTATAATTAAAATGTAAATTTAGATATTTTTACGGCGCCGGCTAAATCTAGTGCTATCTTTTTAGACGTTCAGGATTGGTAATGTATAAATTATTTAAAATGTGTTAGCTAATTTTTCGTGAGTTTTATGTATGACGTGCCTTAAGCAAGCAATGAAAATTTTTAGGAACTCTTTTTTATTGTGATAAGTCTTTAACCACTTTTTTATATAATAGTAGTTATCTGTGATTGGCGCTAATCTATTGCATGGAAGACGTTTTGTTGCATTCTAAAAAGTAATAGTTGTAAATTTATTTTTTTATTAACGTCTGGTTGTTTTGTTTCGTTTTAACTTAACAAAAAATAATTTTTTGGATGAGATACGTGTAAATTCTTGAACGTGCGAAGAGAATCCGTCTTGTAGCACGTTCGATGTGTCGCACAACTGCAAGCAAAGGCTGCCACTACATTACCTCCCGAACGAGTCTCGTTGATCATACTTTGTTCCAAATATATTAAAAACTTTAATTAAATATTTTTTAAATTAGACATAAATATTTTCTATAAATTTTCAATAATGTACTGAAACAAATATTAGGAAAATACTTAAATCTCTAGTTTACTAGGTAAAATTCGTTTTATTAAACTTATTCCCTTATTAATTAATTTATTAATTATTTGTCAAAATTCACTTTTTGTATATAAATCATACTTAAGTATCGAAAAAACGAATTAAAAATTAAATGGTTTTATAAAAATCAAATTTTCTAAAATATTGTTTTTTTTTATAAAATTACTATCAGATGTATACCTGTGTTGTTTCAATTAAATTAACCGATCTAACTGTTAAACTAATTACATACATAATTAATTACGATTTATAATATGTGTTCTTATTTCAGTAGATAAAATGTGGAAAGTTCATTAATATTACGATTATAGCACCATAAAGCCTTATTGTAGAACATAATTTTGAACGATGGGACCGGGTCCTCTACTACCACTCGTTCCTGGTAACAATGTATAACGATTATTCGCTGCATAAAATTACCTCAACTTAAACAATTTATTTAAATTTAATAAATAAAAAATATGATTCTTTAAAATATTTGGAAATGCATATTTTTTAACAAAGGGAACTAAGTTTCCAAGCACACCGCTCTATGCCAATATTAATTTAACAATTAATCAATTTATCATCGACTTAATTGTGAAAAACTATAAATTATTATCTTTAATTTCACAAAATCTAAATTTTAAAATAATTTTTTTAAAAATATTATTTAATTTTATACAATTTTTGGTGGATTATTATGTATTATGTTAACTCTTAAAAAATTTGGTACAAATTGATTTAAAATTAAATAAGTCAATGAATAATTACTAAAATATAACAAAAGTTGTAGTATTGATACTCTTTTTGTTTAATACTTTGAATAATTTTGATAATCTACCGCCATTCTATTAGGTTTGCAAAATTTGATTTTAACATTTAAATATGCTAGAACAATTAAAATACTGTTCAATTATAGACATTTATCTGGATATTAAAGTTATCTTCAATGTAGTAGGTTTATATTTTATTGCTAAAAGTATTAAATTTTAAATAAATACAAACCTATGAATTTTACATACTAATATTAAAATTCAATTCGTAAAAAAAAATCATTGACTACAACTAGACCAGTTAATGACTATAAAATAGATTATTAAAAACTTAGTATATAAGAGTGAAATTTGTTGTATATGTTCTTCAAAATGTACTGACTTTATAATAACTTCAGCTATAATCTGCCATCGTTTAAAGGATATTAGCTCATAAATAGAAAATAAATCTTAACTCAATGTTTAAAACGAGTGTTATATACAAAGTGTTAAGTAAATAAGGAAACAGGTTAACTGTTACAAACAATGAGAAAAATAGATAATAGTTTCTTTACTTTATAAACACTCTATATACGTATATACGTATATTATAATGCATGTATTACATACATTAAATCAATGTTATAGGTTTTTTCCAAAAATCAGTATAAATGTAGAAAACTGATTTTTTCTTGTTCAACAATGTTTAAAATGATACAATTAAGCAGATCATCAAAATTTAGAATATTAATTCACTCTTTTGGTTATAAAACATTTTAATGCAGCTCTTGAGATTTATTACGTTTAAATGATAGCTTTCATAATTTAGTATCTCCTGTGCTTAATAGCAGTATTTAATTACATAGTAATCACTTCTTTTATGCGTTAAACCAATAATTATATTAATTTTAATTAAAATAATTAGTGAACCATAATAATCTATCTTTGTATATTATATTAAAATTAATAGAAATTAGAATTTACTAATTTAAAAAATAACTTTTTAAATTTGAATAAGTATTCTGAATTTTTGATTTATTTTATCCTGTTTTTTTTTTATTTTTAGTATTTTGGTTATTAGTATTTTTTTCAAATAAAAATTTAATTGAATTAGCTATTATTTATCGAACTATTTAAAACTATATTTTTACAATAATATGTTCAATATTTATTTCAATATTATTCTATGAGCATATTTTATTCAATTTTAGATTTTTAAGTGGGATAAATTAAATAATATCAAAACTATAAAAGACTTCAATCCAGTTGATGAGGAATGGCAGCTGAAAAAGGCCAGTCTTTTAAATATAAATTCAAAACATATTGTAAATTTCATAAAAAATATTTGCACAAATGAAAAGCTAAATGGTTCAAATTTAGATTTAAACATTATATATATTGAAAGAGACATGCATTATTTTGTTAAAGCTATATCTTACTGGATAACTGGAAGTGTCGTATTTTATCAACGCATAAAATCTCAATTAGTTCAAGTAATAATTTGATATACAAACTAAAATGTACATATTTATTATTGTGTTTTTTTTAGTTTTTGAAGCAGTCTGAAAAATACCTAGACTATGAGTTTAATAAGGAAAACATAGTACTAAAACGAAGTGATCCTTCAATTTACAACAGTAATATTAATTAATAAATAAAAATATTTTTATCTTGTCCGTGTGTGCCTAGTATAAGCTAAAAAATAAGTACACAAAATTATAATTTCATATAGTTAAAATCAATAAAATACGACATACATTTTTTATAATTAAAAATAATTTTAAAATTACTGAAATTAAAAAATGTTAACTTTTTTAGTTATGTCTGTCGGTGTAGCTGAGTTATATGCTGTAGCTGAAATGTTAAAAACGTCTATTTATGTTTTTGCTAATGAAAAATGGTTCTTTATTAGTAAAGATGGAATAAACGGGAAAATAACAGATGAACAGTGCCTGTATTTAGAAAATCCTTACGAAAATCATTTTAATGTTATTGTTCATGGTTAGTTTAAATATTGATGTAAACGTTTCTCTGAAATATATTTTTTATTTAGTTCTCTATTTATTGTACTATTTACCTGCTAGTGGCGTTGCCACCTTATAGCCAATATCAGTAACTAGTTGTTTTAAAATATTTTCAAATTATTGGTCGNTTAATTGTTTTAAAACATTTTCAAATTATTAGACGCATTTAATGATGAATGCTTACATAATTACATTACATTATCATATGTATTTAAATCATATAATTTAGTCTCAAACCATTTAACTTTAACTAACTGTAACAGAAAAACAATTGATCGCATAACAAGAATTTCATTTATAAGAACAAAGTTGTGTATATTTTTTCTATTATCATATCATGTTAAAAATAGGGATTTCAATTTAAACAAATAAAAGTTTAGCTTTTTTAACCATGCAGGGATGAAAAAATAATTTTTACAAATTATTATTATATAGTTTTCAGAACTTTTTATTCTTATTAAAAAATTCTCAACAGTTTCAGAAAAGATAGAGTCTTGCCATATTTATACTACGGAATATTTGTAATCTTATGATTGCACTATATTCCAATTTATATAATATGATAACTATAGTAAAATATTATATAATATTTAAGATAATATTAATTATTTAGAAATTAACAGCGAATAATTAAGTTTTATTTTGAATGTAAAATTTTATCCCCCAAATTTTTTTTATAATTGAACACATATAGATCTGTATTATCTGAAATTATCAATAAAAATAATGAGTTCAAAGGCACAATGAAAAAAGTTATAAAAATCGTTTATTTATTTTTTATTATTTTTTCTTATACTTTTTATTAAAAAAACAGTATGGAAGTAGGATAGTTGGGACAAGTATAGATGATATCTGATAGTGATTAAAATCACTATCATAAGGAACGCTATGATGTAAATCTGTGATAGTCCTTATTTTAAGAAATTGATGAATTATTCAAAAGCAAAATTCTAACACAAAATAATTAAGGAAAAATTGCAAAAAAATTATTATCACAGTCAATGATTTTTTCTGAATAGACAAACGTTCATCGCATTCGATTTTTAATAAAATTGACAATTTATTCTAATTCAAATTTTACGATTAATTTTTTTGACTTAAAAGAAGAAAAAAATTGAAATAAGTTTTACTTTATATTCTTTAATTAGTATTATATAATATTCATCAAAATCAGTGTATCCCATTAGAAGGTATATTATAACAAAATTTAAATGCATTACCAAGAATTTTAATATAAAAATAGCACAATTATTAATATGATGACCATGTTCATTATATCTCAAAACATTTTTTTTCATAAAATTGTATATTACATAAGCTTTACTATAAGATTAAATATGTCAATATTTCCGGATAATTTTCAAAAATTATGTTGAAAAAAATCCAGCACAGGGGGGTCGCGGTACAGTGGTTACGTGGCATAGTTGGATCAAGTATAATGATACCTGGCATTGATTAAAATCAATATAAAAATAAACGCTTCGTTGCAAATCTTTAGGTAGTGTTTTATTTTAAATAATTTGTGGATTATTCCAAAAGCTACATGATCTGATATTTCCTTATTAATATCCCGATTAAGATAAAGTATGTTAAATGAAGGTGTATATAAATACTACTACTCGTGGAAAAGTTGTATTGATCCATACATTTTTTAAAAAGTTATAGCATTTTAAAGTCAAAAATGTAAAATATAATCGAGAATTTTCAAACAATAATATAATTCGGTAGCCATTTTCACCGTGAAAACCACATACAGACCGAATTTTTTTTTTCCCATAATAAAGAACATTACATTAAATTTAGTTTAAGTTATATATAAAAGTGACAGACTTTTCGGTACTCTTTCGAAAATTAAGTTGAAAAAGTAAATTTTTTCTGAATAAGATTTTAAATCCCCTCTGTAGGTAGGTAAAGGGTCAGATTTTGTAAAATTTTTATTCAACGAATGGAAAATACCTAAAGAATTAAATAACAAATTTGTATTGATTTATTAATTTTCAAAAAAGTTATGGTAGTTTTAAGAAAAAAAAGATTAAAAAAATGTCGAATTTTACCGATTTTTAAAATTTTAATATTTTGGAGGATTATCACTAGTTACGTAGAACAACGGGAAAATTATCAATTTTTGAGGGTAATGTATTTGATTAGATCGAATTGTGATCTTCTGACATATTGTTGGGAAAAATTGATTCAGTAAGAGCTGAGAAAAAGTAGTGACAGAAGTAGGGCGTTGTCTGCCTCTCCCGGGCGATCCTGGCAGTGGTCGCACGTCGGCGCGGCTGCCCAGATGAAGGCGAAGGTACCCCGCACGGAGGCGGTGGTAATTGGGCCCCTGAAGGCGGGGCAGCAGTACGCGGCCGTTATGAAAACGGCCATGGCGGCTGTTGACCTCCAGGCCTTGGGGGTCCAAGTTACCGGCACCAGGAGGACCCAAGCAGGGGCGGTGCTGCTGGAGGTCAAGGGCGTGACCTCGCACGCAGACCTCCTGGCCGCCAAGCTTAAGGAGGCCCTTCAGGAGCATGACGTTCGGGTCAGCAGGCCGACTAAGACCTGCAGCGTCATGCTCCTGGACGTAGAGGAGTGGATGGAGCCAGGGGACATTAAATCTGCCCTGGTCTCCGCCCTCCAGGCCCCTGACGGGGGCCAGGCCGAAGTTGGTGCGGTTATGGTCCGCACCAACGGAGTCGGCAAGGGGCGGTACGCCAGGTGTGACCTGCCCATTCGGTTGGCTCCACGCCTAGCGGCCCTCACAAGAGTGAGGGTGGGGTGGAGCTCCTGTAGGCTGAGGATCCTCGAAGACAAGAGTCCTCAGTGAAACAGGTGCCTGGAGCGAGGGCACATTGCGGCCGCCTGTAAAGGTCCGGACCGCAAGGGTGCCTGCTTCAGGTGCCGGAGGGTGGGGCACCTGTCCAAGGACTGCCCCGGTCCCCAAGTTAAGGGGACTAAGGGAGGGGCTGTTGAAAAGCCTCGGGGAGAGGTGTCGGTGGTCCAAGGTACCCCTAAGGCGTCCTGTGCGCCGCCCAGCAGTGGATGAGGTTCCTTCAAACGAACCTCAACCATTGTAGGGCGGCGCAGGATCTGGTCCGGCAGGCGGTATACGAGATGCGCATCGACGTGTGCGTAATCTCGGAACCGTTTGTCGGACTGATCAAGGACGCCCCGGGGTGGTACTTGGACCGGTCCGGGAGAGCGGCGATCGGTGTGATGAGCCGCGGCCTAACGGTCGCGGACATCGAGGTTGGCGACGGATTCGTAGCGGCGAGGATTGACGGCATTGACGTCTTGAGCTGCTACGCGCCGCCCAGCTTGCCGATCGCCGGACTCCTCGAGTCCGTGTCCTCCTGCCTACGGGCGAGGAGACTCGGGCGGCCGCGCGACGGCCGCGGGGAGCTCGTGGCCGGGGACTTCAACGCTCACTCCCCGGTCTGGGGGTCGGCGGACACGAATCAGCGTGGCGAAGAACTGTTGGACCTGATGTCGGCCATCGGGCTGGTATCGGCCAACAGGGGATCCACCCCGACGTTCGAGGGTCACTCCTCGAGCTCGGTGGTGGACGTCACGCTGGTGTCTCCGTCGCTGCACCCGCACGTGACCGGCTGGTCGGTTCTCCCGTACAGGGAAAACCTCAGCGACCACCGGTACATCGTGTACGAGTGCGGCGATGGCGGCCGTCCCCCTCGAGCCGGGCCACGCGTGCCGTCTCGCGGTGGGCGAGTGGGCTGGCGAGTCGGACCGGCCACGGACGTCGACGCTTTTGAGACGGGCTTACTGCTCGCTCAATGGTCGGCGCCCGCGGTACCGGACCGGCGCGTCTCCGCGAGCGAAGCGGCGGAAGAGTTGGACCGGAGGGTGGTCGCAGCTTGCGACTTCGCCCTCCCGGCCAAACGACCGCCGTCGACTCGCGGACCGCCAGTCCACTGGTGGAACGCCGAGGTGGCGGTCAGGCGTGAGGAGTGCGTCAGGGTCAGGAGGACTATGACGCGCTCCAACCGTTGGCCGCGGGACCCGGAATCCCCGGACCCGAGGGAGGCGCTGAGGTCGGCCCGCAAAGAGCTGAAGCTCACCATCAGGCGGGCCAAAGCGAAGTGCTGGGCCGAACTCATGAAGTCGGTGGACCCCGACCTGTGGGGGAAACCCTACCGGGTCGTTATGCGGAAGCTCCGCGGTTCACCGGCTTCCGGTCAGCTGGAGGCGGAAGTGCTGGAAAGGGCGGTAGACACGCTCTTTCCGACACACCCGCTTCTGCCTCCCCCTGCGTTCGGGGACGACGTGTCGGTGGAGGAATTCACCACCCAGGAGGTGGCCGACGCGGTGGCGCGCGTACGGGGCCGGAACACAGCTCCCGGCCCTGACGCGATTCCAAACCGGGTGTGGGGGTTGGTAAACGACCTCGCCCCGGACTGGATACGCGCCGTCGCGAACCGCTGCCTCTCGGAGGGTGAATTCCCCACGAAGTGGAAGAAGGCCAGGCTGGTGCTTCTGAGAAAGGGTGACAAGCCCGAGGGTCTCCCCTCGTCGTACCGACCGCTTTGCATGTTGGACGACTTGGGGAAAATCCTCGAGCGGCTGCTCGTCACCCGGATCGAAGCCCACCTGGCCGACGTCGGCGGACTGGCCGAGGGCCAGTATGGTTTCAGGAGGGGGAGGTCGACGGACGATGCGGCCTCCCTCTTCAGGGACTTGGCCCTCAGGGCCAAAACTGAGCAGGGCTTCGGGTTGGCGGTGAGCCTGGACATCCGAAACGCGTTCAACTCCGTGCGATGGTCACACATCCTCGGAGCGCTGGACGAGTTTCGGGTGCCTCCTTACCTCGGGCGGATGATCCGGTCGTACTTTAGCGATCGGGTCATCTCTTACGAGAGCGCCGCGGGCCCGAGAATCCGACCTGTTACGGGAGGCGTCCCGCAAGGGTCAGTTCTCGGGCCTTTGCTGTGGAACNTCTTATATTCTTATAATATAAAAATTTAAAAAAAAAACGAAGAATAAATTCTTTATAAGTATATACTTATAATGTTTTTTTAAAAAATTAAATAAAA